GGCTAGGGGGTGGGGCAGGTGTGGGGAGGATGGACCTTGGGCTTAGTTCCTAACCTGGGACAGGTATGTGGTAGGGGGGTGAGGGAGGAGCCCCAGGCCCAGGGGCAGGGAAACAGCACTGTGGGGTGGGGGGGTGGGGGAGGTCTCAACATCAGGAACCTGGGGCCAGGTGATTAACACCCTCTAACTAGGATCTGGGCTATGAAAGAGGAGCTGAGTGAGTCCCACAGGCATTCAGAGGGTGGGTAATCCAGGAGGGTTTCTTTTTTTTATTAGATCATAATTATGTACATTACTGCATTTATGGGGTACAATGTGCTAATTTTATATACAATTTGGAATGTTTATATCAAACTGGTTAACATATCATTCACCTCACTTATTTGATTGTTATATTTAGACATACATACCAGGAAGTTTTCTTAGAGGAGAGGCCTTAGAGCTGGCCTTGTGAGATGGGTTGGATTCGACAGAGGGACCTGGGGAGCCAGGGGGCAAATGTCAGGTCCACTGAAAAACACTAAGAGAAGACTTCAGGCAGCAACAAGGGGCTTGCTAGGGAAGCAGCTGCTGGGATCTGTCAAGGGTAGAGGAAGGGGCCGGAAGGGAAGCAGGAAGGCAGAGAGAAGCAGTTTGGAGTCACCCTCAGCCCCTGCCCCAACCAGGTTGACTCCATCCAGCCCCAGGACTATCTGGTTTTCGGCCGGTCACCGTGTGAAAGAGAGATGCCCCTGGAGGGCTCTAAATAAGGATTCCTGTCTGGGCCTCAGTTTTTCCATCTGTATTGAGAAGGCCTTGAGCAACCTACTTTGGGGAACAGGACAAGATGGGTATTTTGTGGAAATGTAGGCAGGAGAATGGGACGAAGTGCCACAACCTGGGAGATGGCATGATAAGGAGGTGTAAGACAGGGCACCGCAGGCGCTGGTGACTGTTGAGCACCTGAACAGTGGGGTCCTACACTCTCTGCACATAACAGGTCTTTTGGGAGCACACACCCCTGCCCAATGTGCAGACATTGGCAGTGTCTGCAGGACTACAAGCAGCCTGCTGGCCGCACTTACCCACCCACCTGCCAGCTCACCCCTCATCCTGGGGTTTGCATTAAGCAATCTCCATTATCACAAATGCCTGGCATTTTTTGAATGGTAATTACAGCTCCCACAGCCCCATGAGGATTACAAGATTAGGGAGTAGGGAGGATTCTGGTGGGAGGAGAGAAATACCTGCAAATAGATTTAGCAGCCTGATAGCCTTCTGCAATTTTTAGGATCCCCTAATAAGAGTTTGGTGGCCACCTTAAGGATCATCCACTGGACCTCTGGCATCAAAGGCCACCAACCATCTTTCACTGCCATCATCTCCTTGCTTCTATACTGCCTCCATCTGTACTGCCTCCCTGGTTGCACCACATCTGCCCCTCAACCTCCCTGCAATGCTCCAAGCAGTTCTCTCCTAGGGAAGAGGCCGTGGCCCTAGCCCCCTGCCTTCACCTGTTAAGACCTCTGGGCCTCCCCTCCTTTGGTGACCCCAGAGGAGAATGGCAGACATCAGGGACTTTCCTTGTCTCTACTCTCACTGGTCCTTCCGTGCAATTGTCAAAACCCTGCTTGTCCTCCAAGGCCCAGATTAGATGCTCCCTCCTTCAAGGAGCTTCTCCTAACCTACTGGAAATATTTAAGAGCCAGCAATTAGTGAGTCCTTGGGATGAGCCAGGCCCTGTCCTAAGCACTTCACAATGTATTAACTCACTTAATCCTCATCCCAACTCTCTGAGGTTATAATTTTACAGATTAGGAAACAAGCCCAGAGCAGTCACTTAGGTACCCAAGGCCACACAGGCAGGGAACAGTGGAGTCAGCCCTGTTCTGCTATTTATCCACAAAATCACAAGCCCTGGAGCAGAGCTTCTCAAACTCTACCTCTAATTTAACTGAGGATTTTGTTGAAATAATTCTAGAGCAGAGCCTGAGATTCTGCACTTCTAAAAACCTCTCAGGTGGTGCTAATCCTGCTGGTCTAGGGAACACAGTTTGAGTAGCAGATCTAGAACAGGAAAGTCCTACTGTTGTCGTTGCTTACTTAGCAGAGCTGAGAACCTATGGAAGGCTCCTGAAGACCTGGCCTTTCACCAGCCCTAGCACTTCCAAGCGGAGGAGGGCAGGGCTGGTGCTTTGGATAGGCCAGGTCCCAGCCCAGTCCTGTCTTCCCTTTGAACTCAGATGGAGACCCTGGGGAGTGGCCAGGTGAAATCTGGACTCGAGGCTGCCTTAGGATCCTCTCTAATGACCCTCCAAGCCCCGGCACAGCTCTGACCCCTAAGGAATTCTTGCTCTTCTTACCTGTGCAGCCTCTATGCAGAACACAGTGGAGCAAATAATTCTGCCAACATTGGCGGTCCCTGTCAGCCCAGCCATGGGATGGGGCAAAGAAAGCATTGAGCTGCCATTTGAGGAGGTCAGTGGCTAGTGAGAAGTCTTTGGAGAGCAGCATCAGGTGCTGAGCCTCCCTGCCCCCCAGGCATGGAGAGAGGAGGAGGTGTCTCCACTCCTATGGCCAAGTGAAGGAGGCTTCAGGAAAGCTGCTGAGTGCCCCCAGGGTGTGGGGCACACTCATATGGATGATCCCAGACTCTGAGGGGGAAGGTAGAGGTGAGAGGGGCAGAGCAGGCATACAGGGTGAGCGGGAAAGTTCTGACCTCAGGATCTGGGGGGCAAAGATGGTGCTTTGCGTGGTTCAAGTGTGGATTCTGCAGAAGGGAAACTCAGGGTTTCTAAAAAGGGGGCAGGGGAGAGGCTGGCTCTAGCAGAAGCACTGGGGAGCTTCCAGAAGCAGCACCAACTCCAGAGATCCCTAGCAATGGCAGGTCCCCTTACAAAAGAAGAAACCAGCACTTCCTATATGCCCCATCAGAGGGCCACAGTGATACCCAGTACAACTGCACCAGCCACCAGCGGGAGAGGAGTTGGGGGGTGGGGAGAACTTCCTCCTTCCTCCCCCTACCTCTTTCCAGGGAGCAGCCAGCAACCTGGGTATCTGAGAAGATTCCTGGGGCAAGGCGGGAAGATGAAAAACAGCTAACTACAAATCTCTGTCCCCAAAAGGCCCCTGCAAAGGGGAGGGAAACGTTAATGTAATCTGGTGGACCCTGGACTATCTGAAGTCTACCCATACTCTCCCTAGAAACTCTGCAGCTGGAATGGAGAGCACCCACAGTTAGGAGACGTGGGCCTGCATGCTATTCCTGGGGACTCAACTGCCGCAGGTGGGTTGGGGGAGAGCAGTGCTGGCCTTCCATCCATTCCAGGAAAACCTAGGGGCACCAAACTGTGCATATACCTGCTTCTTGGCTTCTAGAAAAGCTCTTTTGTAATTTGTTGGAACTGATCTTTTTAAGCAACACTGGGAATAGTTTGTTTTCTCCAACCCTGCCAAAGGGACTCTGGTCAGGAGGTTAAGTGAGTTTCATTGAAAAGACACACTTTTCCTTCCCGGGCTGATAAACAAGGCTGCTGTAGAGAAACCAACTTCCTCTGCCCAGGCACTCAGCTGGGGCAGCCTACCTCTGGCCAAGGAAAACAAATGCAAAAACATCTCAGGGATATATAGGAAGCATTTCTGCTGGAGGCCTGCTGTGAATGGCTGCTGCAGTTTACACAGCAAACCCCAGGGGCCTCAGCATAGCTGGGACAAAGAAGTCTGGCCCTCCCTCTTCCCTCCTGGCCTGGCTGCCTCTCCCCAAAGACTAGTCAGGCCACTACACATGCCCCATCCATAAGGACACAAGACAACCTCTTTAGCTGTCACCACCAAATGTCAGTTTCATCTACATGCCTAGCATTTAAAAAGAAAGATCTCCTTTTAGCCAGCACTGCAGTCAACAGGAACATAGCCTGCGAGCTGTTTGTATCCTGAGCCCAGTGGGGGCACAAGGAGACTCCGGTTAGGCTGCTGTCCTGTATTCAGGACTCTTCTAGGCCCTCCTATGCATACACGCCCTGGCCAACACGTTAACCTCCTGCCTCCACATGGCCTGCACATGGTCTCAGCCGCAACTCGCTGGGCACAGGCAGGGTCAGCACAGGGATGGTGGCTCCTATGGGCTCTAACAGTATGTTGTTTGGAGTTTCTCACATGGACCATGGACAGCCTGTGGCAGAAACTCCTAGAGGCTAGCTCTCTGCCTCTGGGCTCCTCCATTCCATCCTGTTCTTGGGAACCATGCAGAGAAGTCCTTCACTTTGATGAGAGACTCTCTCTCTCTCTCTCCTCCTTCACCAGCCTCCCACTGCATTTCCACATTTTCTCATATCCCTTTCTGAAGCCACTAGGATATAAATGAATGGAGTGAACGGGACTCATGCTACAATTTCACTTCATGAGTGATTATATGATTTTGGCATTTTTCCCATCCCAACCTATCCCATCTTTGCCCTGAAATGTGAGGGGGTCCACAAGCTCTGCCCACCCACATTTTCAGCCAGTTCTCTCTGCACATGCTCCCTATGGCCACATGGGGGAACCACCTCTGGTGTCTTTGTTCATCCTTGCTACCCCACACCCTGGCCAAGCGGCCCCTCCCTGGAAGGCTCTTTCTCCTCCATTTGGCCAGGCCCAGCCCACCCTCTAGGTCTACCTCCATCCTCAGGGGACCTCAAAGGGATCCAGATCTTCCCTGACATGGGCTCCCTAGGGCTCTGAACTGCCCCTGGACAGCACCTGGTGCTTCAGACCTGTGCTGATCCAGTGGGAGACAGGGTAGAGCAGGAAACCAGGCAGGGACAGCATTGGACCAGAGGGCATTGTTTGCTTGCAGAGATCCATTAGGAGATGTCTTAGCCCAGGGGTCTCCTGGGCTCTGGGGCCCCTCCATTTACCATCTCGCCCACCCCAGATGTTATCAACACAGATCTTGCATTTCCTTTGCAGCAATAGAACAAATAAGTCTTGGCCATCAGTGTGAGTTTGACTCTTCTTTTATAGAAAGTCAACTACCAGAAATAACGAATACCCAAGGTCCCCAGAGTAACCACATCAGAGGCATTGGCAAGGGGAAAGCCCAGTGGGGAACAAGGGAGGGATGCCGACAAAAGGCAGCAGAGATCCCAGTGGCCTCTTTCTAGTCCTCAGCAGTCACGGCTCAGCCTTTGGGAGGGGATACAGCAGCACACCAGGCCTCCCAGCATGCAACAAATCTTAGGTGGGCCCTTCATAGAAGGGGCAGGTTAGGCCTTAAATGCTTCTGCAGCACTGTTGGCCCAGACAGGGTGACACTGCTCTCAGAGACTTGCCCCTAAAGCCTGGGATCCAGCTGTCACTCCCAGTGATGAGTGGTGGGGCCATACGGATTACCACATCTAAGGGTCACAGGATGGGGTCTGAGCCATTCCAGTTCACCATCGCCCCCTTCCACCTAAGGGCAAAGGAACAAGAGAAAGAGAGTTAGAGTTTCAGGGACCCAGATGAACCAGGGTGGGGGCTCATCCCTTGCCCCCATTTTCTGAGGCTTTTGTCTTAGAGACTTTGAGGATTTCAGGTTCCACACTACCCCTCCATACACACAAACCCACATGCCAATCCCTTGTGAAACATAAACACACCCAGGACCCTGGGGAGTACCGGAGAAGACAGAGGCGGCAAGTGATTCATTCTTTTGTGTGACAACCTACTTTGCACCTAGCACTGCTGGGCCCGCCACTGATGTGACTGATCCACACACAGCCACTTTCCAGCAGTGCCTGATGGTGGCACCTCGAAGCACCCAGGTAGACTTCAATATGGAGAAATCCTGGAGGGTCTCCAGTACAGAAGGTGATCCAGTGGCTGGAGCCCAGAAAGATGGGCAGAGAGGTGCTGGAGGGGCTGAGAGCTGGCAGGGCCTTCTGAGATGTCTAGGCTTTACTCTGGGAGCCATGGGAAGCTAGTAAAGGGTATGAGCACCACAGAACACAATAGATTTTTTAAAGTACTTTACCGTAAGAAGCAATGAGAATAATTAAATTGCAGTCCAAGGTTAGATGTAATTTAATGATAGCTCAGTTATAAAATAAAAGTTATTTTAGGTGAGACTTGAAATTTCCTAACACTTGCTTTTAATACATAGCACTAATTTTCTATAAATAGCTCAGAGGAATCACATTTATAGAGATGCAGCATTTATGCCAAACCTGGCATTAGGTATAGTATACATATACCCTAAGACTGTATATGAACTAGGATACAGGTGAACATATCTCAGTAGCAGTCCTAGAGTGCAGTGTTTAAGGCCAGGATTTATAAATGTTTTCCAAAGCTTGGGGTTTGGATAGAGGGCAAACATCCTGTTTTCCCACCCTCGAATTTTTCTTCAAGACTGATGTCAAAATCTTAAGCATCACACAAGAGGAAAAAAAAGAAGCTTTTCTCTTTTTAACTGTGTATCTGGTATTCTTAAACTGGAACTGCAATAAGAAAGGAGTGAACAGGTTCTCCCAGAGCAACATGGTTGCATTTCCCAACAGAATGCTGGGAGGTGCCGCAAGGCTGCAGTTAATGGGCCTGTATTAGCTTCAGCTAACTGCAAGTCCACTCAGCAGGGAGAGTGGCCGCTCTCTGACTCACACAGCTGAGTGGGTTCTGGAGGTGAGATGTGCTGGGAAGAATCGTGCTGAGCCCAGGTTCCTAGGGACTTGGCTGATCTCCTGGATTGATGGTATTTTGATGATCTGCAGCAACACAAGGCGGGTTTAAAGGGTTCTGCCACGCTATTTGACATTTTCAATGTTCTTTCTCTGCTCATCATCTTCGCAGTTTTAAAGAGTGTCATTTAAAAGGTATGTTCTCCCTCTTTATGAAACAATCTAGCCTCCCACAGAATTTCCCTCCTCAGGCTTCTGCTCTTTGTCTTTCTTCAAGTCAGGGCTTTGCTTCAATCACAGCGTCAGTGTCTCTGATTTTCAGGTTTAAGGTGATACCCTCAACCTAGAAATGCATCAGGATTCATACTCATTATGACCTTCCAACTTACTTTCCCCTTGGTTAAAGGCAACTTCTTGGTATTTGTAAGACTGTATTTTCCCTTGCTGCATATTTTACATGATTCCATTTTTCTTCGAGTGAGCAAAAATATTTCTTGTCATGTGGAGGAAAAATAATCTTAGCTGCAATTCAGTGCTTCTTGTTCCCATAGAAAGGTTTGGCATGGAAAATGATATCTGCGTATCATTTGGGAATAATTATCACTGCACTCTAGTCCTAGCTCCACCAGGGAACTGTGAGGCTAGACCTTCCACAGTCATTGGGAAATGTGAGAATGTAATGTTTATGATAGTCTAGACACAAGTCACAGTTCTGCCTCATGTGGGGACTTCAATCAACATCCCAAGAAATTTTGATTTGTTCATATATGAACATTGAATTGTACCTTCTTGTTAAAACAACCAATATACAAAGCTGAAACGGATGGATGCTGGAAAACTCACTCAGCAAGTTTGAGGGAATTTTTTCCAAAACTGACCCTGTGCTCTCTTCAGTATCATTTGGTGATATCCAGTGATGCTGAACAATCTCCCCCAAAATGGCACTGTATGGCTCTTGTCAACTCATCCTTTTCTTCCTGCGTGAAGGGCTTAGAGGCGCCCTTTCACTACCTGAATCATTTGGTTCTTGGGTCCTTCTGGTCACAAATGCTCAGAAAATGATCTGAATGTGCAAAAACTCCTACCTACTTTTAAAAAGAGATCTTTTAAGAATAAATGTTGGAAAAACTCCCTTAGTAAGGTCCATTGCCAGACAAGAGATGTGTAACACTCTTGAGCTCATCCACAGACCCCCCCTTCCCTTTTGTCAGCAACGTCAGACAAACTAAAAAGCTCAGTATCACTTGTTTCATTGGATAAGGAAGGGTTAAGTGATTCTATGATCCAGGCACTTCAGAAGCTATTTCCCAAGCTTCTGCATGCCAAGCAGAACTATAGGAATCTATTAAGTGCCTTGGGGTTGAGCCAATTTGATGGAATTTACCTGCACCATTCCATTCATCTTGGAGGCAGTTTGACCTGGCTTGGAGAAGTTAGACTGTTCCTAAGTGGTGATACCCACCGCTGATACTATCTGGGGTTGGAGTCTGATAATGTCCCAGGGTAGCTAAGAGAAGTCCAACCAGCAGGGAAAATGGCTGCTGCTCTGACTCCTGGAGCTGAGCAAGTTGTAGAAGTGAGACGTGCTGAGCCTAGGGACTGGGCCGATCTATTGCATCTACTGGGTTAATAGTATTTCAGTAGTCTGCAGCAACACAAGGAGAGTTTAATTGATTCTTACCATATTATATAAGACTTTCAATTTTCTTTCTTTGCTCATCATCTTTGCAGTTTGAAGAGTATCATTAAAAAGCTTTTATTGTATTATTAAGATTTGTAGGCAAGTATTGAAGTTTTGGACACCGGGAACACATCCTGAATCCAGACACCCAGAGGGCAGTAGAGGGGAGGCAGGAAGGAGAGGAACACTCCTGCCTTTGGCCTGGTCCCCGGGACCCTTCATCCTTTATCTTCTCTATCCCTTCAACCCTTTATATTCCCCACTCTGACTCAGGTTCCTCCTATGAGTTCCCAATTTGCAAACCTCCCAGATCCTGGAAAAATAGGATCCTGGCAAATGCTTCAATGCAGGGGTGAGTCATACTCATCTGCCTCTAGACAACATCCCTGTCACACCACCCTCACTGAGCCTCACTGTCAGACAGTTGGGTTTGTGCTTGGTTTTGAGGCTTTTTACAGACCTAACCAAGCCTCCACATCTCAGCCAACAGGTGCAAAATCAGGGGGGAGGACTGGAAGTACCAGAGAGACGCAGTTCACAATTACTATAGAAAATCAAAGTAGAAACATTTTAAAAATGGAAAGAGCTGACGTGACAGATGTTGTGCTTATGTAGGGGATGAATCGTTACCCAGCTGGAACAGTCCTAAAAGTCTGAGTCAAGTACAAAGACCTGTAAGAAGAGCTCTGCACCTGCACCCAATAGCTAGGGACAGGCAAAGAAAGGGAAGGGACCAAATGGAGCTGCTTCTGAGTGCAGCGGTGGTACAGGCAGCGTGGAAGCCCTGGTCTTACTAATTCAGGAGGTGGGTGACAGCATGACGGCTTAGAGCAGGGTTCCTCCCCTCCGCAACTTGGGCATTGGGGGCTGGGAAGTTCGTTCCTGTGGGGGACATCATGTGCATATTAGGAAGTGCACCCTCCCACTGGCTGTGACAACTAAGAATGCCCCCAGGCATTGCCAAAATACCCCAGGGTACAAAATCCTCCCCTGCTGGGGACCACTGAAAATGTCATGGTCTTCAGAGCTCAAGTCCACTTAGTATCACTGATGGGGCCATCACCACGGCAGAGCAGACGTACCTGCCTCCACAGTATGTCAATGCTGCTGAGACTGCATTTCAGGAGGGGAAAGAGTCCGATACAGCCTGTTTCTAAGGACTCCTCTTGCTCACACTGAATTTTCAGACACACAGGCCTGCGTGCAAGTTTCTGTTCCTGCACTGCAGCTACTGGGAACTAGGAGAGGCTCCAGGGTGAGCACCTGGACTAGCCTTCACCCCTGGGCCTTACCTTGCTGTACCTGCCCTGCCCACCATCCTTCAGGAGCAGTTCCTTGATTCGTCCTAGCAGAAGTGTTTTTACCATCAGGCCACCTGGGGGTCCCCCCAGCACCCAAGCCAGGCTCCTCATGCTGAAGCATGCAGGTAGGAAGTGCTACTGCATGAAATGCCCTCTCTATGCCAGCTGCTCCTCCTGGGTGCCTGAGTCTGGGGTAGCTTCCCACCAGGCACCTAGCAGAGATCTCCATTCATACGCCACACTTCCTGCTCTGGACCCACTGCTCCTGCCTCTTGCCTCCCCTTTTCTGCCTCTTCCAAAGCTTTTGCCCAACTTGTCACCATCCAATTCTTTCTCCTCCCCTAACACATGTGCTGAGCCCCTAACAGCTCTCAAAGGAAGGGCTTCTGCAGCTACCATAATACCCTATCAACAGAGAGGGAAACTGAGCCCTGCAGCAATGCTATGCCTTCTGGGCTCACACAGTGTGGCAGCTGCACAGCCAGTACCGGGCAGGAGTGTGGGCAGCAGGGCATCTGAAGACAAGGGCTGGGGGACAGTCAGGGCAGTGAGAGCACCCAGAGAACAAGGAGTCTAGGCGAGTTGTCAGCATGAAGCTGAGCTGGGGTGCCTCAGGCAGGTGGCAGACAGCTGAGGGAGGTGGGTGCTCTGCCCCCATTTCTTGGACACACCATCACCAGCTGGAATTAGATTTTCAATTTCTTATCTGAGCCTCCTGACAGAAACATCTGTGCCTCAGGCCCCGGTTATGAGTTCTTTCCTCTTTTCTCTGGAATGCTGACAACTGTTTCATTTTCTCTCACTTGAGCTAGGCTGGAAACATGAGAGAGGTCACCGCATGTGTCTTGTTTGGAAATGCCCATAAATGAGTTGGTCTTGCTGAGATAGTTAGAGAACAGGAGGGGGAAGGGGTGGGGACAGACCCTACATTCCTGACACAAGCAAAGGTAACAGGAGACTCTCTGAAGTTGATACGTGCGTCACACCAAAGAGGAGAGACAGCACGGGGACCCAGGGATGGTTCAAATTAGGATGCTCTTCTCTAGAGGCAAATCAGCAGTCTGGGCTTGTGCAATGTCACCCTGGCAACAAAGCCAGGTGATGAGAAGTCACAGTGCCCGCTCAGTGACCTTCCACTGGGCAGGGACAACAGGGCCTAAACTCCAGTCCCTATACTGCTCGTGATTCAAGGCACAGCTGGGGTGCAGGCTTCCATTCTGGAGACCTTCGTCTCCCCACCTATAAAAGAAGGGGTTACACTGGATGGTGTCTAAAGGCTATTCTGTGGATCCAAGTGAGCTGCCAACCAGCCAGGTATACAGTGTGTTCTATGCTGGGCCAGGTGTGGGTCTGGGGTTCTTGCAGGGAGACAGCTGGGTATAAGGGTAAGCAATGCATCTTTTCCTGGATTAGAACAGGGTTGATCCTGAACTTGACTTCTAGTTGACTGTGAACTCTCACAGAGCAAAAACTTCCTATCTAGCTGTTTCTTCCATGGAGTCCAGCCCAGAAGTCTGAAGAGGGCTGATGTGATGGAAGAGAAATCTCACCTACCCACCAGCTTGGCCTGCCTGCTGCCCACCCATCCAGCAAGATGGATGAGATGGCCAAAGGCACACAGCTGCCTCTCACTTAGGACTTGAGGCCTGACCCCAGCCTTGGAAAGGATCTGAGCTCAGGCCATGGCACCACACATACTCCCTTCCTGACAAGGCAAGGTCTTCCTACAGACAGCAGCACTAAGCCCCAAGAGGCAGGACCCACTTCCAGAGAGTCTTCACTGACCTGGGAGGCCACTTTCCCAAGTTTCTCCCTTTGAGCTGTTTTGAGAATCTGGGATGAAAACAAAAGCAAAGCCTTTGTAATCCAATCCTGTAGAATAGGATTCTAGGAGTGGGGCCTGCTATTTCCTGTTACAATGGTATGTCATCGCAGGGGCTGGCGGGGAGGCCCAGTGTCACCACTCTTCACTCACCCACCTTTTCCAGGAATAATGCCTGGAAAAGCCTCACTGTGTTAATTGTCCAGGTGGACCCACCCTGATGGAGATTACTGGGGAAGCAGAACAGGCTCCTGATGGCAGAAGCACTCATTGTAGGGTGGGGGGGCACAGCACAGAGGAAAGCACCCTGGCCCAGTGCATTACAGCCAGACGCTGGAGGGGCAGCGCCTCACTCCATGCCTCACTCTCACAAGACAGCCAGGGCAGAGGAAGGGCAGCCACTATCCTTACCGGTCACTAGAGCAGCAGTTCTCAAAGTGTGGTCCCCAGAGGCATACACAGCAGCTCCTGGGAACTCCTCAGAAACACAAATTCTCAGGCCCCTCCCTGAGCCAGAAACCCTGAGAGTGGGGCCCAGCGATCTGTGTTGTCACATGTTCTCCAGATGATTCTGAATCTCCTAAAGCATGAGGACCACTGCTCTGGAGCAAACCTTCCTGATGGGTGAACAGCTAGGTGGATGGAGTCTGGGAGGACTAGAGTCCCAGGCCAGGTGTCTCCAGCTCTGTGTGCTGTGCAGATGTGGTTAATTTCTATCTGTGGTGAGCATGGAGGAGCGCTGCTTGAGGAGAGGCCAAGGAGATTCTTAAGGACAGTCTCATTTGGACATGGGGCCTGACCCCAGCCTCGGAAAGGAACTGAGCTAGGCCATGACACCATCCATACTCCCTTCCTGATAAGGAAGACAACGTCTTTCTACAGACAGCAGCACTAACCCCTAAGAGGCAGGACCCACCTCCAGTGAGTCTTCACTGACCTTGGAGGCCACTTTCCCTACCTCCACTAAAATCATGTCCCAGCTGACACTGGCAGCTTCTCTACTTCCCACATCTCCTCACTGTCACCTGCTGGCACAAGGCCATGAGGTGGGGGAGGGAAGTCTGGGGAGACCAGGCAGCCAACAGAGACTAAGAGAAACTTTGGGCCCATGTGGGCGCATAGACTATCATTACACTGAGTTCCATGGCACACCAGCTCTGGGCAAGGGGCTGCCTTGGGGACAGGCCAGGGCCCTGAGTCATTCTCAAATGACTGCCTGTTGGGACTGAGCCCAAGAAGTCCAGTCCTGGGCCTGTGCTGGGAGGTCACTGGTGAATCATGCAGTGGACCGGTTTGGGGGAAAGAGGAGTTACTCCCAAAGGGAATTGGAGAGGTTTCAGGGTGGTGGGCAATCCCCTAGCAGGCCTTCAAGGAGGGTCCCAGGGGTCCAGAGGCAAGCAGAAGCTGTGCCCAGAGTGCACTCAGAGCCCTGCTCAGGCCCATCTGCAGGAAGGATCCCCTGGCCTCACACTGTCCTGCACAGATGCCAAGGCCAATGTCGCCTCTTTCCCCACTGCTCCCCTTCTCTCATCACTCTGAATGAGTGGCCCTTTGTACATGAAAGGAAAGTGACCTGCATGTGCCCTTAATCCTCCCGATGAAAGAAACACCAGCACATGACCCCACAGGAACGCTTCGTCCCTGGCCCAGGGGTGGGCAGGTGGACAGATAGATGGCTAGATGGGGCATAATGAGGATGTCCCCATCCCCTCCCACTTCCCCTTCCTGGTGTGCTCACTATACACAGGGAGTTCTCTCTCTGTCTCTCTCTCAGCTCCACTCACAGGCTCACTTGTCTGCAGGTGGCCAGTGGCCCTAAGCTCCAGGTGTCCTATGTGACCTCAGGTAGTTGGCACCAAAGGAGCTCAGCCTTCAACCCCACCTCACCACCTCCACTAAAACCATGTCCCAGAAAGGGACGTGTAAATTTTGCTGGAGGTCACAGCAAGTCACAAGTGGTGCAAACAATAATGAAAGCTAGCACTGCAGGCACTTAGTAATATCCCAGACAATCTTCACAAGAGCTGGCGAGCCAGGGACTGTCTATCCTTGATTGATAGACAACAAAGACAGCCAGGGACTGTCTATCCTTGATTGATAGACAACAAAGTGATGTACAAATAGGTGAAGTCCAGTGGTTCACATCCGAAAGTGGCAGAGATGGGGTTCAAACCCAGGCAGCATATCCCCAGAACCTACCATCAAAGGCTGTGAGTCCCACTGCTTCCCCAGAAGGCCCTAGAGGCCAGGTCTGCTCCCTCCCAGTGTCTCCTTCCACTGCATGCTGACCCACACCATGACCCAAAGGCTTTGTAAAGGATCTGTTGGAGAGAGCCAGATATTTCTGGCAGCTGCAGCCCCACCAGGCCCTGTCCTGGGCCTGCTCAGAGCACTCAAAAGGCAAGAGAGCCCTGTGGACTGAGTGCTCTTTCCCCCATCCCCGGCCCCACACTGGCCTGGCCTCAGCCTCCCATTACACACAGAGGGGCTGGGTCAGAAGCATCAAGGCCCCCACCTGCCTCTGAGGTTACAGGTGCCTCTGCTCAGTGTTCAGAATGGCGAGGCTGCTCCTCCCACGGGCCACCCACTCAGAGGGTGCTGCTGCTGAAGGGAGCCACCTGCTGCCACACCCTGTCTAGGCCAAGCTACCCACCTTCCCATCTTGCTCCTTCTGGCCTAAGGGTACTCACCACATCTGGCTGCTTCTGCCTTGAGGGAGAAGGGGCCTCAGGATGCACCCACTTACCCGCCACCCCCACCCTCCCATGGGAACACTCTCAGGTGCTGTCTGAAGATGGGCCATCCCTGTAGGTCACACGCTCCTGCGCTTGGACCCCAGTAACTACAAACAGAGAAACCTACTATGCACAAGTCCTCCAGCATAGCATCTTTTTGATCCATGGGGGTCTCAACTAACCACATCCCTCCCAGGGCAGTCCAGAGAATCATGCTTCCTCCTGAGGGACTGACCACTCCTACAACTGTGCCTTCAGCCATTCAGCACAAGGCTCACAACCAGGAAAAGGCCAGACTCACTTGGTCCTGATGCAGAGCTCGAGGGGTGGGACAAGGTCATTGCTTCCATTCTCAGAGATGGTCTGAGTGGTATCTGGTGAGGAGACAGAGGCACACCGGTCAGTTAGGGCCCTACACTCACCTTGAGGTCAGCAAGGACAATCCCAAGACCTAACCTTTCTAGTACCTGTCCTCTCCTCCCCGTGCTGACTAGATCCGCCCTCATGCTTCATATCACTTCTCACCTGTATACCTCACAGGTCCCTCACCTCCAGACTCCACCCCTGTGCCTGCTTCAGCTATTCAGCTATCACAATATTCTTTCTAAAACCACATCTGCTCTCATCCTTCTATGGCTTGCTATAGCCTGAAGGATAAATCCAAACTCCTCAGCATTGAATTCAGGGCTCCTTACCATGCAGTCTCCACCTCACCTCACACCAATGCCATTAACTGCTCCAAGGCCAAGCTCTGGCCCCCTCCGTGCTATCATTCACTCTCTGATCCCCGGTCCTGACATTCAAGTCTGCATTGATCCCTGGCTGTCCTCAGGGGGCATGTTAAAACTGGCTTCCCCAAGGATTCTTGGGGAAGGGAGGGCAGGGGCCATACCGATGGTCAGCCGGATCTGCTCCTGCTGGTTGGCCAGGCCGTCGTAGTAGTACAGGTCAAACAGCTTTTCTGCCCTCCAGTCACACAAGAGCTCCTGCTGCAGGCTGAAGAGGATGCTGAAGTGGCTCTCACTGCACACCACCCAGATGGGGAACCTCGGGGTCTTCAGGAAGCAGCCGACCTGGATGGAGGGAGAGGCCTGATGGAATGTGTCATCCCTAGGAAAGGGGCCAGGGCATTTTCTGTTCACTTCAAGGCAGGGCTGACCTCAGAAAGACTTTGCTGAGGATTACATCTGTGTCTGATGCTGGGAGCCCTGTGCTACCCAGACCACAGGCCTGTTTCTTAGAGCCACTTGGCTTGCTACTTGTGGACTCTCTGCCAGTGCTACCCATTCTGTGTCCTAAAGCTCCCCCAACTCCAGCCTATCAGACCTCTCCTCAGGTCTACTCACCATTCCCAACCTGGATCATGATAATGACCTCCTAACCAAATTCTTCCCATATTCCTCAAACTAATCCAGCTTGTTATCTGTGCCTTTGTATTCTCTGCCCACCAGTCTAGAGCTTGCCTCCCCTTGGACAGCCTGCATCTCCCAGATCAACCAATCAGAGAGCAGGGGTCACTACCTCCTTGCAGTTCCCAGGGGGGATGTTACTAGGTGACTGCCCACATCAACCACAGGGCATCCCTGTCTCACCATGATGCCTTCCCCTGACTCTTTCACACCAGACTATACCCTCTTATGCCTAAGAGCCCAGGTCCTCGTGGATAATGCAGGACTTGAAGCTTGAACAACACCTTGAAGGCAGGTAGGATTGGAGTCATGGGGAGCTAGGAAGGAAAGGTGTGGTGAGCAGTCTGTGGGGGATGCCAGGAATGAATGGCCAGCACCCAGAAGGCATTCAGGAAGAGTGAAGAGTGGGATAAGGCTGAGGAAGTACCAAGGTATCTTTCTGATGATAGAATTCCTAAAATGTTCCCAGCAGGCAAATTTCATGGTGGAAGGGTATTTGGGGAACACAGGTACCATGGAGTAAGTATCAGGGTCCTCAGCACATTGCTACTACCTTGGCTGCCATGCGGAAAGTGACCAAGCCCTGAATGCCTGGTCCTCTATGCACTCTCTCCCTGTCCTCATGCCTCCCCTGGGGCAGCACTCTCCCCACCCTGGGCCCTGGGTTATTTGGCTATGTACGTGCCATGGGCCAGGCTGATTCTGGCCTAATCCCTACCAGCCCCAGGGAGATGTTTGCATGCTCAGGTATTTACAGCCAGAGCCTGTGGATTAAAGAAAGAATGGGAATTATTTTTCCAGTGGGGAGAAGGGCATACTTTCTCGGGGGCTGTCACAGAAGAGTGGTTAGGCAGCCCCTGCCTGTCTTTGGGCTAGCGGTGTCTTGGAGAGAGGGGCTGTGTTCAGAAAGTCCTGAGCCAGGACTCCAGTGAATGCCTGCTCAGGAGAGGCTACCTCCTCCACAGGGCAGAAGGACAATCTTGATAATGTGCTCATCCCTTTCTTACTGTCCAAGTGTCTTCTCCTCACCACCAGGGCCTCACCCCAGCCCTGATAGGGAGTGGGGTGTGGGGTAACTAAATGTCTTAAAGGACATGGTTGGGTGTGCCTAAAACAACCCCATTGAAAACTTGGCTTCCATTCCATGCTCAAAAGAGCTTTTCTGTTGAGCACACTGCCTGGAAAAGACAGCCCTGAAGCCAGGATCCAATGCTCATTCATGGCAGGGAAAGTGCCCCGAAGCCAACCAGGGAGCAGGCCTTTGCATAGTCAGCCACACGAACTTTCCATCAGAGGGACAAAAGGGCAGCTTGCCATACACGAATAACAGTCAAAAGATTAAGGGCAAAATAGCTGCCCAGAGAGCTTATAAATGAATTTTCTCATTCAGGATCCTCTTTCCAAGTGGGTGACATTTTCCAGAGCTCAAGTTCGCTTCCTATGAATCTTGGGTAACCAAAGGCTTGGAGCAAGCTGTGGGCAGGAGGGCACAATTCCTCCAGCACAGTCTGAGGCTTTCTCCCGGTGGCCCAAAATACAACACCATTAGGGATTACTTTAAATGGTGATTCTTAATTTTCTTGGGTTATGAATGACCTAAAGTCATCCATGGACCACAAGATTAGAAGCACTAACTTTAAAAGTCAGGCCCAGAGTGGTGGCTTACGCCTAGCACTTTGGGAGACCAAGGCAGAAGGATTGCTTAAGGCCAGGAACTCAAGGCCAGACTGTAGAAGAGTAAGACCATATCTCTATAAAAAGTCAAAAAATTAGCTGGGGTGGTGGGTTACAGTGAGCAACGAAAACACCACTGCATGTTAGTTAAGGTGACCGAGCTGAGACTTTATATCAAAAATAATAATTAAAAATAAACTAAAGAGGTCAACATTTGATAGCAGGCAGAGTTATGCTATGTTGTTTCTAAGGACAACATTCATTCAATATGATTTATGCTTTTGTCCCCAGCACCACTCTAGGCAGTGGTGACACAGCACTGAAGGAAACAAGAACAGTCTTGTCCTTATAGAGCTTACCAGATTAATGGGGATGAAGGAATAATCACATAATCACACAAATACATTTGCACTGCTCTTCGTTGAATCTACGATGCCATTAGATTCACCATTATTTTTGGAATCACTAAGAAATAAAGAAAGCTGACAAAGTCTGACACACCACTGACTGTAAGAATGCATCAAAAGTTTAGAAATGTTCAAATGTGAGGAAAGCCTGCATCATAAAAGTGATAAGATAGTTAGGATAAAGAAGAGGTACATGGAGGAAAGAATAAAGATAACCTGATGGAGAATGACAAGATGGGGAGGGACCATGAGAAGAGACACCTGCATTGGTGGAGTGATGAGGACAGTAATGGCCTCCTTTTAGGAAGCAATGTTTAAGGCAAAAATGACCAAGAGGGAATCTTTTGAATTAACCTGGATTGAGGTGGAACACATTCTTCTTAGTAAAGCATCACAAGACTCAAGAAGAATTCAATGTACTCAATTCTAATATGAAGGCAGTAGAAGACCAAATACGTGGTGGAGGTTAGGGGAATGAGGAAGTGGGGAGAGGGGAAGAGAGAGGGGTCTGGGGGATCCCAGTATATGGCACAACTCTTGTGGGTGGAACAGAATTATAAGAGGGACTTTACCTGACAAATGCAACCAGTGTAACCTAATTCTCTGTACCCTCAATGAATCCCAAACAATTAAAAAAAAAAAAAAGGAGGGAAAAGCTGGGCAGGTGGAGAACATAGTATGCACAAAGGCCGGGGGGAGGAAAGAACCTGTTGTGTGGGAGATCAGGGTGAGAGAGGAAAAGTGGGCATAGGCTGGCAGGGAAATTTCATAGGAAATTTTGGATTCTAGTCTCCACTGGTTTACTTGGGCTGCCGTAACAAATACCACAAACTTGGTGGCTCACCCAGTAGAAATGTATATCATCACCATCCTGGAGGCTAGAAGTTTAAGATCAAGGTGCTTTCAAAGTTGTTTCTGGAGGCCTCTCTCCCTGGCTTCAGCCACCTTCTCCCTGTTTCTTCACATGGTCCTCTCTCTGAGTGTCCTAATCTCCTCTTACGATGACAGCAGTCATACTCACCCTACTGACCTCCATTTACCTTAATTCTCTCCTTAAAGCCCCTTTCTCCAAATACAGTTACATTATGAGACAGGACTACAAAAAAATTCATATGTTAGGACTCCAATATATAAATTTTAGGAGGATGTAATTCAACTCACAACAGCCTCAGGAAATTAAAAAACCATTGAAGAGAACTGAACAAAGGAATGATATGATTGGATCTATGCTTTTGAAAATCATTCTGCCTTTAGTGCAGGTAGAGGATAGGAAGGGGTAGAAGCAGAAGCTGAAGTCTACTGGGCTGGCACAGGTGTCTAGACCAGAGATGCTGGCAATTTGGACCAGAGTAAAAGGGGACAGACTTGAGAAACTACTTGAGGGATAGCCAAATGCCTTCTGGTGGAGTGGCTGAGCTCCTGGTTTGAGTAACTGGGTAGATGATGCTGTTCACTGAGCTTGGGAAGACAGGAGGAAGATGGAGTTTTCAGAACTCTCCCTGCCAAGCTCAGTTTTCCCTTGGGTCCCTTCATGAAGACAGAAATGAACGTGCCCTGAAGGTCACAGGAGAAGTGCTGAGGTTAAACTCCCAGCCCCACTCCATCCTTGCTGGCTCAGCAACCCCCAACACACACGAGCCTGGCAAGACCAGCCTGGTAGGGTCACAAATAGCCTACAAAGGTCTCACAGGACACAGCCAGGCTAGGGCATGAGGCCAATTACTTATGGCAGGGGGGAATCTCCCTGGCTCAGAATTTCCTCTGTTCCTGAGTGTGGGTCATCTGAGAAACTCACTTATAGGTTGGACCTCCTCCCTCTAGCAGACTCATTGAGGGCCCCAGAACTGTAGGTCCTCAATACAGGCTATAGTCATAGGCTGTTTGCATAGCCCTGCTGTGGATGTCAGGGCCCCGGCTGTTCCAGATGCTAGATGTTCCCTGTAATCATGCCTAAACTGCCCAGTAGAGGGGCACAGGCCAGGCCAGAGCAGAGGCCTTGGCTCTTCACTGCCAAGTCCACATCTGGGCTTGGCACTGAAGTCCGTTGGACTCCTTCTATGTCCAATGTGGCTAACTGCATAGGGCCTGAGAGGCTCAGGGACAGAGGGATAGCAAGTAGTATTAAAGTGGGGGGAAGCCTGGTCTGAGCTGCCAGGCCCTACCTGAGCCCTCGGGGTAAAAGCAGAAGCTGAAGGTCAGCACCCAGTGAGCTTACGGAGCAGAAGAGGAAGCCAGGACCCTGTCCTTAGCCAGCTTACAAATGGCAAGGCAGAGGAGCAACGTATCCTCTCACTGTAGGGAGACAAAACTCAGAGTCCTCAGCCAAGCATAGAATACCAAATAGCATCTATGTGGATCCAAGAAGTGCACGGGGAGATCATTGTATTCCTTCAACAGTCCTTTTACTCCAAGTGAAGGATGACCCTGACTGATCTTCCCAGCAGATACCCTCCACGGACCAAAGAAAAATAGTTTACTTTTTGACCACCGCCCTTGACACAAGAATGAAACCAGGGCTTAGGGTGTGCCTGGCCAAAGTTACCTCTCAGCCCATGGAATTTCAGGCTGAATTCTTTGAGAGAACACCCAGGGTCTGATGCTCCAGAGCCTGGTGCTTCCCGCTGGCCACATTCCTGGGCTTCCTCCTGACACCAGCATAATCAGGAAGGAGCTGCTTTCATTCTTTTCTCCCCAAGTTACTGGAACTCACAAGTCTGCTTTCTATGTGCTGGGGGAAGGATTCTCCCTCCCTATGGGCTTCAAAGGGACCATGTCCCTGCAGACACCTGGACCTTGAACTTCTAGTCTTCTAAATTTCTGTTGTTTCAGCCACCGAGTTTGTGGTACTTTGTTGTGGCAGCCTAGGACACTAAGGTAAGGCCTCAGACCTCCAGCTCCTATCCCCCTTACACATACTCACACCCGCTGCAGCCACTCTGACCCACAATCACATTATAAATATCTGAAAGTCCTTAAATAATCTTTTTGAGCACCTGGTATCAGCTGGCTTTGGGTCTGAATTAATCTGCCTACCGTCAATGGCAGGGAAGCTGAACTTACTCCCAAAGTCTCTGTGATGCAGACTGGACCTGAATTCTACCCAGCTCTAGGAACTAGAGTCTAGCTTTCCTCCCCACTTCCCTCCTCACTTGTCCCTGGGAGCCAGGATCCTCCGTTAGTGGAGAATGTAAGCATCTGTGTACCTGACACACATTGTAGTGCTCAAAGAGAGATAAGAAGCCAATATCACTGCGGGCAGCGATGCCTCTCAGTTTTGTGATGTTCCCATCCCCGGAATCCAGCTCAACCTCATCGTTGAAAACATTGGACACAGCTTTCCCGGTCAGAAGCAGATTGACAAGTTCCTGTAGACGAGAGAAAGAAGAAAGGCTTATCAGGTCCCTGAATCAGCTAGTGAAAGGGTGGAAGGGAGACTGGGAACAAGAGAAAAGGGTGGAGAAGGAAGGAAAGAAAGGAAGGAGAGAGCCCCAAATCAGAGGAGGTTGTTACTGTTCTCTAATTTTCCCACAAGCCCTAGAGGAAAGTTGCCAACTTCCCTCATCACAGTGAATCTAGGCCCCCATCAAACCTTATGTCACAAGCATTCCATGAGCACTGACTGTACACAGGACCCTGTTCTTTGCCCTGGGTTGTTGGGGGACTGGTGGGAAGGTGAGACATGGCTCATGACCTGGGGTGTTTGAGTTAGACTAGGATTGGGAGGTCAGGTATGTGTCTGCACAGTGAAGTACAATGCAGGATGTGACCGGGCCTACAAAAATGTGTCCACACAGCACTCTGGGGCCTGGATGGGTACAAGACCACATGACCAAGTCCAGACAGCTTTGTGGAGAAGTGACATTTGGGTAGGTCTTGAAGGATGGCATTTTTTTTTTTTTTTTTTGTAGAGACAGAGTCTCACTTTTTCGCCCTTGGTAGAGTGCAGCAGAGTCACTCCAGCAATCTCCAACTCCTAGGCTTTAGGCGATTCTTCTGCCTCAGCCTCCCAAGTAGCTGGGACTACAGGCGCCCGCCCCACAACGCCCGGCTATTTTTTGTTGCAGTTTGGCCGGGGCTGGGTTTGAACCCGCCACCCTCGGTATATGGGGCTGGCGCCTTACTCACTGAGCCACAGGTGCCTCCCAAGGATGGCATTTTTTAAATAAACTTTTTTATTATGAAATAATTTTAGATTCAAAAGAAGTTATAAAAATAGTACAGAGTTCCTGTGTACCCTTCACCCAGTTTTCTCCAATGATAACATCTTACATAACCAGACCACATTATTTTTTTTTAATTTTCTCTATACATATACATGTGTTTATTTGGTTTCTACTTTTTGCCTTCACAAAATTAAAGAGGCTTAAAATTTAATAACAATAACAATGTTTAAGATAAGAACTAGAAACAAAAACCAGAGTACATTATTCCAACCAGGAAACTGACCATGGTGCAGTACCAATACTAAACTCAAAGCCTTATTTGGACTTCACCAGTGATAGTTTTAACAGGGGAGGGAGAGGAGAGGAAGGTACTTCAGGAAACAGGAAGAAGACAGCAGGGAGAGGGAGGCACAAAGTCCAATTCTGGGTTCTAGTACAGTCTGACAGACTTTATCTTGTCATAGGGCACTGGGCGTGTGACGATTTTGTGACTCACAATGTACACCCAGCAAGCCAACAAACATGTCAACCCCGGAAACCAGAGACGGTGGCACATGGAGCACTGTTTCTGTGATGGTCACCTTTGACCCATGTCTCCTGCATCTGGGTGGACCAATGTGACTAGAAGGTGCCTTCCTTATACAGGTCACCCAGGAGGCCAACTTCCCATTAGAAATGGAGAAACTGCCAGGCACAGTGGCTCAAGCCTGTAATCCTAGCACTCTAGGAGGCCAAGGCGGGTGGATTGCTTGAGCTCACGAGTTCTAGACCAGCCTGACTAAGAGTGAGACCCTGTCTCTAAAAATAGCCAGGTGTTGTGCTGGGTGCCTGTAGTCCCAGCTACTTGGGAGGCTGAGGCAAGAGCATCACTTGAGCCCAAGAGTTTGAGGTTGTTGTGAGATGTGACATCACAGCACTCTACCAATGGTGACAGAGACTCTGTCTCAAAAAAAAAAAAAAGAAAAGAAATAAAAATAAAAATAAAAGAAATGGAGAAACTGAGGCTCACACGCAAGAAAGGACTTGCCAAGCTCCAATTGGTGCCAGAGCTGAACTTCCACCCACAATCTTCTGGATCCCTATCTGATGTTATTTCCCTCTCGCCCCACTGTGTTAACCTCATGATACCATGTGCTTAGACACAAAGTCAAGGTTAAAGGTAGCCTCGTAGAAAGGACTTCAGGGAGTCCCACCCCAGTACTAGGGCAGGCAGGCCCTCTGTCTGGCCCACTTTCTGCGGGGCCAGCAGGTAGGTATCTCTCCCACGGCATGTAGCACTTCCCTAAGTGTAAACTCTGGAGAGTTAAGTTTATAGAAGTGTTTTCCCCTGAACTGTGAAAACGACATCCAGGGTAATAAATCCCTCTGTTAACACAAATACCCCTGCCCCAGTAACAGTAAAAGAGACCTCCTCTGATGGCCACAGAGGGTCCCCTATTGGAGGGAGATATCGAGGGGACCTCATTGTGTCTTGCAGAGGAAATGATAAAAGAATTTGGAGGAAATGTCTGCTCTAAGATACTGCACTTCAGGGCAGTGCTGCTAAGAAAGGCACAGCCTTTTTCAGGCGGGTTTGAGTTTTCCCATCTAGTTTTAAAAGGGAAAAAAGACCTCCACACCATGGAGCAGCAGTATTGTCCTCCCCGGGGAGTCCATTAGAAATTCACAATCTCAGGCCCCAGCCCAGACCCACTGAATCTGGGCCTGCTCTTCAATAAGACCCCTGGGGATTCATGTTTAAGGAGCCATGGTCTAGTCCAAATGTCCCTTCTACTAACAAGGAAACTGAAGCTCAGGGAGGGCAGAAAAACTGCCCCAAATTATTCTGTGAATAAAATGGAAGAGAGCGTGGAACCAGCCCCAAGCTCTGTTCTGGCATTCTCTGCATCCTGCTTGATTGCCTCACTCTCTGCCCTCCATGAGAAGAAGCTCCCACAAGCACACAGGCACCCAGAGTGAGAGCAGGGCCAGCCAGGGCAGCCAGAAAAGCAGCCACTGCCCCTGAGGCCTTTCTCCAGGAAGGCAGGCAGCAGTCAACTCCCTCTGTGTGTGCTCTAAGCTTGCCTCTGCATGGTGACTAGGTAGGTTTCCAGAGCTGAGGTCAAGTGATGCAGGACCCCCGGCACAACTGGGTTCTCAGTTGGGCCTGCAAGACTGTGCAGCGTCCCCAGCCTAGACATGCTGCACGTTTTGGCCCTTCTATTCACACAGTCAGAGTTCACTGTGGCCCGTAGGAAGAAGGCATAGAGAGAGAGACTAGGTGCAGGATTTAGTTCTCAATTTTGATGCTCACTAGAACAGCATCTTCAGCAGGTACCTTCCCTGGTGTTACCTGCATGACTAGGAGGGTCAATGGTGAGCAACTGTTCCCATGGTCTCCTCTACTATGAAGCCCTGGAGGGCCCCTTTATGAAGATACAGAGGGAAGGCTGCTATAATGACAACATCCTTTGCAAACATAAAGGATGCCAGAGCTGTCATCTACCTGAATGGGCCCAGGGTCTCCCACCCACGCCTGGGGCACCACCCTCTGCATCCTGTGTACTGGGCAGCATAACACTTGGGTTGGCATCAGCCTCTTCTGCATCCCCTGTAGCCCTGAGCACACAAGCAGTGTGTAGCAAGCTCTCTAGAAACAGAAGCTAAGTTCTTGATGACATGCTTGATGACCTCTGGTGGGCACTTTGAGGGTGTTGGGAGGGTCTAAGAAAGGAGGGAGGGAGAGAGGAAAGGGAAGAACTAGATGCTGCCCCTGGGCCCCATGGTGCCCCCTGACCTGTGTGCAGTACCCATGTGCTCCAATCAAATGGCTGGTGGGAACGTCAAAGTCCTGGCGGACACTGGAAAACACAAAAAGAAGCACTATGAGTCACCTCTGCCTGACCCAGGCAACCGGGCAAACCTCACTGCATGCCCAGGTGCCCCCCTCGGGGTTCAGGTTGAGGCCCAGGATTCCAGATTTGGTGGGAAACTGAATGCTATGTGTTCTATGCCTTCTGTGGAAGAAGCTCCCACCCAGAAAAATGGGGGCTGGCCTAGGCCCCTTGAGTAGTCACTGCACTGTCTGGCTTCACCAGGCTTTTGTCCACACTGGGAACAGCAACTGAGTGTGACACAACAGACAGGCCCAGAATCCAATGTCTTGAATTCACATCCCAACTGTCACTACCAATGGAAGGACCAGGGATTTGTCTTTCATCTCTGGACCTCAGTCTGCCAGTCTGTTAAATGGGAGGAACGGACTCTAACGCAGCCTTAAATTCTAAAATAATAGCTGCTACCATCTGGGCACAGCTTGTACACCAGGCATTGTATACATATTATTCTTTAAAACCTTTTTAAGAAAACCCAGGCTCAGAGATGGGATTGACTTGCCTAAGAATGTTCAGCTTGTAAGGAATACGGCTGGCAGGAAACTTGGGCAGCCAGTCTCTGAGGTCTATGTCTTCCCAGTGTTAGTGCTGTGGCTCCATCCTTGGAACGGGGTCCCTCAAAAAGCACATGTGAAAATGCCCTTTGCCAAAACAAATTGCTCAAAATAAAAAGAATGAATTTCTAGTGCAATGCTAGGGACGGGAACAGTTCAGAGTGTCCCCGATCAGCAGGGGCCCTGCCACATGGAGGCAGGTGAGGTGACAAGTACCAGGAGGCAAAATGTCCTCCCTGAATCTCACACCCTCTTTCCTGGCTTGTTACCATGCTACAAAGTCTGCTCTTAGGATGGTGTTCCATTTAGCTACCCCAAAGTAAATTCCTCTGGGAGATAAAGCATCGCTGTTGAACAGAACCCTATAAGGAACAGACAGTAAAGGAGATGCTCTTTATTGACCATGCTCAGTGGGGACAATTTCAACCCTCCAGCCTCCACACTCCCCAGTAAAGTATACATACTGTAGTTCACAGATGTGCAAACAAGCTTAGAAAGCAAGCTCCAGGGGGATGAGGTGAGGCCAGGGAGCCTGGTTTCCAGGCCTGTCCCCTCCACTGCTGCACACAGCCTTATGGGCACACATGGCCCTGGGTGCCAAACATCTCTGGGGCAGTACAAACCCTGGGAACAGAGCACACCATGACCCTGGGGGTACATGCCCTGGAGGGTACATGCCCTGGGGAGGTGCATGCCCTGGGAGCACCCAGAGGTCTGGGGGCCACACCACCCATCCTCATTGTACCTGGGACCTGGTCCCCTTCCTTCCCACTGTAAAGAGAGAAGCCAGGTGTAGACTCAGACAAGTGAGGTAGGAGGGCTTAGCACTCAGAACATTTATTTCTCCTTTCGGTAGAAGAGAAATATGGTCTCGATTTATGCTTTAAATCTAAGATCTGCCTTAAGCCAACAAACCTAAACCACATGCCTTGGTCCCTGTCTCCTTCCAAAAAGAATTAGGAAACTCAAGCTCTTTAATACTTGCGGGAAAGACTTTCTTGTGGTTTTGAATAACTGTGGCCAAATGAGGAAGGTTTATAGTCTAAATGAGAAGACGGATTGGGGTTACCATCAGAGGGCCCTCAGTGAACCACTAAGCTCAGGGTCCTCTGGGAAGGGCCTCTAAGGCTCACCCACCATAGATGGCCCCGCAGGCCTGAGGGGGAGCCAAGCAGAGTGACTCATTGCACAGCACTGGCCTGGCGCTAGCTCAGGCAGAAGAATTGATGGAAACGCTGTCTGTAGCATATACAAGCATCTTCTGAAGAGAAGAAAATAACCTCAAAGGAGTCCTGAGGGGACTGATAAGCATCACTGGCCCTAAGCCACCCAAAGCTTTCAGAAGCAGTAGAATCTTCATAAGCTCACAGCCTCGTGTTCACCCAGCGGGCTTGAGAGCCTGCGTCAGTTGGGAGCAGAGGGACAAGCAGAAAGGACAATGGGAGGAAATGGTAATTGCATCCTTAGGTGCAAACACGATGGGAAATTCAGAAGTGTGCTGGTATCTTAAAAGGGAAGAACATCTGTATTTCACATCAGGGCATTCAGGAGACGCCAAGGGGCGGCTTATAGCTTAAGAGATTTACAACTTTGGCAAATCTAAATGCCCAAACTGCCCTCTTGGGGAATTCCCTGGAGAACTGAGTGTGAAGAGTACTTGGGTAGGGGAACAACAGCCTCAGCTGGGCCTGGGGAGAAGGCAATTTACGGGGCAGGGCCGGCACCAGACCCAGGTTCTAACCCCAGCCTGCCGAGTGATTGCAAGCCTCTCTCCTCTGTGGGCCTCCAACTCCCTTTCTGTAATATGAGGGTCTTAGACAAGATGAGAAGTGTAAGGGGCTTATGTTGAAATCCTAACACCCAATACTTCAGAATGTATATGTATGCATTTCCTTATAAGGGGTGATGAAGTTACAATGAGGCCAGTAGGGTGGGTTCTAATCTAATCTGATGTCCTTGTGCAAAGAGGAAACCCAAACACCCAAAGGGACCCTAGGGACGCACACTCACAGGAGAAAGAGCATATGAGGACACTGTGAGAAGGCAGCCATCTGCAAGCCCAGGAGAGGGGCTTCAGAAGGCACCCACCCTTGATCTTGGACTTCCCACCTTCAGAACTATGAGGAATAATCTGTTGTTCAAGCCCCTATCCAGTGTACTTTGCTGTGGCAGCCCCTAAGGCACTAACACAAGTAGCCTCCAACATCTTCTGAGACTCAACACCCTTTCTTCAAATGAAATCTGACATGCAGAAGCCCACTATGAAACATAAGGGCAGAGCTGCTCTGGTTGAAGGCAATGTGGGGGCTTGTCCCATCTTTCTCCCCCTCCAGCAGCCTCTCTGGCCCCCTCCAGAGAGCCGCTGGGTTTCCAAGGACACGTGGCATCCCAGGAGCAGGGGCCCCTCAGCCACAAGTCGTGATTGTCCCTTCCCCAGGAGTGACTTAGAACCATGCAGTCTAATGGGTAGGCTGTTCCCTCTATGGTCTTCCTGGGACCTAGATGGCTCTAGAATCCTATGAAGCCTGAGGAACCAGGTACCCAGCTATACGAATAGGAACCAGGATGACATGTAGCCCCAGAGCCCCAGAAGCCATCCCACACTGGGCAGCAGAGCTTGCTGAGATTTCAGAGTCCAAGAAGCAGACAGTGAAGGAAGCCTGAGTGAACTTCACTAGGGGATGGAAACTCATGAGGAGGGGCGTGGCCTAGGATGCCATCAGAGACAAAACCTCTCAACTCTGTCCACCATCAGGAGGTCCCTGAGACACAGCACTCTACCAAGATACAGAACAAAAGGGATGTCAGGGCTAGGAGAGCTTGCAGGGCTCAGCATTTTGCAGAGGGGAAGATGGATGAAGAGAGAGATAAGACAATCAGCCAAGGGCTAGTAACTGATGTTAGCCCAGGTTCAGGGCTTAAAGCTGGACCTGGATCTCTGCTGCCTCTCTCCACCTGTTCTTTGTCACACATCTCAGAGGGGACAGAGCCTCTGCTACTGAGCTGGCTAACAACGTAGGAGCCATAAATCTGTATACTCTTAGATGCTTTCAAACATATTTTTCTCTTGAAAGCCTTGTGAGATCAAGAGAACAAGACTACCATCTCCATTTTACTGCTGGGGAAACTGAGGCCCAAAAGAATGGACTTGTGGCTTTATAATCACAGTGAGTCATCAAGGCCAGCACTGTACCCGCAGCATCAACATCACACAGTGTCTGCTGTAAGGGCCAGCCAGTTCCCCACTCCTAGTCCCCATCATCCCTGGCTCAGGTGCAGCTTGTCCCTTCACCTAAAAGCTTCCCCAGGTGAATCTGGGCATCTGGCACAGAAGTTTCTAAGAAGGAAAATAGTTCAAGTGGCCTAGAGACATGGTTCCAGTCTACTGTCACAGTCATTCACCTGAAACCAAAGCCTACTCAGCCCCTAACTGGCAAATAACCTCAGGCAAGTTTCTACCTCTCTCTCAGACTGTGTCCTCATTTATAAAATGAGACCAGAGAACAGAAACAAGAAATCCATAGGGACCTGTGAAAAGTATGCCCAGACCACAACTCTGCTATTCGAACCTCAAGCCTCAAATAGGCAGTAATTAACCTGCCTCCTCCACCTGACCACAAGGGCCCTGAAGGAACTGTATCCCACAGGCTAGCTCCCGCTCATCCTCCCAGAGACTACACCCTCACTCACAGTGTGACCTGCACTTCCCCCACCCACCAGCAGTGACCTTCAGAGATAAAAGCCCTTTGGTGGAACGTCTACTGACTTAAGGACAATGTCAATAGTGAAAAGGGTGGCTGTGCTCCAACTATGAGAACCTGGGCTCCAAAGCTTACTTGTGCTACTGCTTACCAGTTATTTCCCTCTGTGAGCCTTGTTTTCCCCAACTGTAATGTAGATATACTAATGCATGCCTTCTATAAAAGACTGCTGTGGGAACTGAATAGGATGAACTATATAAAGAATTTGGCATTCAGCAAATGTCACTTCCTTTTTCCTACTATAATAATGATAATAACAAAAAAACAAAACAAAAAAACATGAAAAACAATGACCAAGAGGTCATGATTCCCATAATCTCAACCATTCATATTGTGGCCAAGAGCTCCGAATAAACTGTGACCTCCACGCAGTCGAAATATAGCTATACTTGAAAAGGATTTGAATAGAGTGGACTATTTTCCTAGGAAGGCCAAGAAGGAGTTGACAATGAGTCAGAATAAACAGGTGTAGGCCCCCTCTGCTACCCACATTGTGTGACCTTCAGCAAACCACTTTCCATCTCTGAGCCTCTGGTGTGTCATCCTCTGATGGGAGTAACAACCACCACTTCAAAGGTGCTTGCAATAAGGACCCAGGCCATAAAAATGCCTTGCAAGCTGCACAGAGCTCCACTGGCCAGAGAGAGGCAGT